AAATCAACTCTGTGTATGTTTATTCTTTTGTATTTGTATGATTTACTTGATCTGCCTTTACTGACGTAGATAGAGTTCTGCATTACAAGTTCATAGACTGCAAGGATCACCTTTCCGAGAAGGATATACAGCCACTCCTCAGATCGAGGTTGCTAACATACAATGGACATATAATAACACTGATGATGTAATAAAAGTGGAAATATGGGATGTTGTTGATAAAGCGATAAATCCATCGGCTGTAAAGTCTACCTCAGCGGGACTAAAATTTGAAAACGGTATACCGGAGATTACATTGAGCATATTCGTACTATATCAATTGTCAGTCAAATTATTAATTTCGCACATGATATAGATTTGGGGGTTTCTAAGCAAACACCGCCTACACCTTCTAAGGAGCAAAATGAGCTTGCTCTTGATGCCGAGAATGTCAACGTGTATCGAAATACTCAAGGAATTATTCTAATGTTTGACATAACGAAGAAGTGGACTTTTGAATATGCGGTTAGAGAATTAGTAGCAGTACCGGAACATATGGCTGTGCTTTTACTAGTACGTTATTCAATGACAACGTCATTATAGAGTATTTAATATGCGCCAAGTGGAGATACTTATATTTTCCATTTGTTACTTGTAACAGGGAAATTTCGCTGATCTCAGGTAGGTATGTACAGAATTGTATGATCCACATGATTGCCAATTCTTCATCTGACCATCATTACTTAGTAACATATATTGAACTTCCTCCACCATATTTAAGCGCACAGAGAACAGTTTCGACTGCACATGTATATCAAGTAATCACAGAATGCAATGGAAATCGATCATCTAAATATACATTAGCAAATAAAATACGATATGTTGAGACAAGCATGCAATCTGGACTAGGACTTGATTACATATATAAATACTTCGGAGTACCATTCTTACAGCTACAGGTACGTCAAGACATGTTTAAGGCCGATCACACATTCACAGGTGAATTTTGACACTAATATTGATCTACGCGTACAAACGTTATTAGCGGGATATCCTTAATCAACAGTTAGAGGCAAAATCGAAAGAGCTATCAAGTTTACTTAACGAACTTGACGCAGACGTGGAAATTCCGGCCCCCAGCGAATTACCAGAAAATAGCTCTCTAGAAGACAAATCCTGTAAATACACGTGCATTGCTTCTGCTTGAGTATTTATTTTTAAATATTATTTCATAAGGCTCACTATATTTACGTTATCATCAGCCCTTGAAGGAAAATTAGAGTATCAGCAGGCACTGAAAAATTTTTGGGAAAAGGAATATCGTGAATTAGCAGGAGAAAGCAATATTCGTGAAGGTAGAACTGCATGCATGTTCATATATTTTTACGCCTCTATTCGCTTAACCTGGTTTAATTCACACTCCGTCAACAATCTTCAGATAATACTTTGGATGCTCTATCATCCCAGCTCCTACCATCTCTCCACATTCAACGCGAAAGAGCACGCACTCCAGATCCATCACAGCTTTATGATTTCAATGCGGGAAAGCTCGAAGATGACTTTTTTGACGATACTCCAGATACCCTTCCCATCCCTCCTCGGCCCGCAGCTGTTGACTCTGATGATGCAGCGGGAGCCAATCCAATGGTGGCAGGTGATGAAGATTTGGAAGGAAGCAGTGGTGGTGAATCAGACAATGAAGGTGATAGGTCAAAAAAGGAATTTCAAAGTGGTATATCGGACATCTGGCACAGACGAGACATATCCTCATCGACCGGACGTGGTGGCGTTGTAAGCAGTGGGAGCAGTGATGTTGACGATGAAATGCTCCAAACGGGAGAGGATGAAGAGTTGGATCCCTCGGCATCTGCGTCGCGTACAGGGTATGAAGAAATCAGTAGCGGTTCACCAGCTGGTGATAATCCGTGGGCCGAGTCTGGGCAACATCTTCATCACCCACAGTCATTTGTCGAGTATGGTGATTTGTCATCTGCTGCTCACTGGCAACAGTCCAATGTCAGTGGTATACAGTCATTTGTGAAAAGAGACAGTAAAGACATTAAGAAGAAAAAGAAGAAGGGTAGTAAACTTACAAATGAAGACAAAGCTAGTCGAGAGAATAAGGATGGAAGAAGGGTTGGAGATAGTCGTGATCGTGAAGAACGTATTCACGGTGAGATTGCTATTGGAAGTAATGAGAAGAATGAGCAGGCAAAAAAGAAGAAGAAGAAAGTAAAGAGTGGGAGTGTAAAGAGTGGGGATGGTGATGGTAATAATGGTAATGGAAGTGGAAAGAAAAAGAAGAGAAGCAACATCGGTTGAGTGTTCTAGCATGACCTTGACATGCTTAATGAATTGCTAAGTTATTTATTGTAATAATGAAAGCGAGCTCTACTTAATTATTAAATTAGAATATGTTTATGTCCAAGAAACGCTCGGTTTTTGATTGAGATTTATTTACAATTGTTATTGTTACAAAATCTTACAATTTTTTTTTAAAAAAAAAAGGAGGAAAGGTAAACCACACTAACACTTTGCGATAGCTCTGATGCTTGCCAATTCTTGAGCAAGCCCATGATCAGTTTTCAGTTTCTCCTCCGCCGATAACGTTTCAAACCATTCTACTACTTCTGTGACTTTGGCAACAGACCCAAATGATAATCTTAAGAGTATTTTTGCGCATAGCCCCTTCATCGACCACGTTGCCGCAGAATTTTGACGGCTGATTTCTAGTATGGGAACAGAAAATACGGACGAATTCGAAATAACAGTATTAGTAACAGAATCCGCAATGGCGAATATTTCGTAAATAATGATAAGAAATGATGGGTGGTTATACTTTGAGATAACTATTGTCGGAATTCTTCACTTACGAGAATGTATTTCTTCTCTCATCCATTGTCTCAACTCTTCAGTTCCTTGAACTTCTTTGGTGTCAAGAATGCCTGCCCGACAGATTTGCGCCGCAATCTCCGCGACCAGTTCGCATCGCAATGCATCATTCTTCAACGAAAAGAGAGATTCCTTGATTATTTTAGGTACTTCTCCTGTTGGGCAATATTGTGCGACTAATCCAATGCTCATCTTTAAATATGTTGCAGATTGAGCTTTGTTTCAAATAGGACATTACATTTTAATCGACTGTATTGTATTGGTATAAAAAAAAGAGTGCAGTGCATAAAATCAAAATAAACGTAAAATTTACCTCTTCCTTGTGACTTCGATTCTAGGTCTTTCTTGAACTCTTCGCTATGCAGCATTTCTAACAGATAGTCCATCACGTTTTGAACAGTTTTCACGTCTTCTGGTCGATTCCAACCAAGATGTTTTGAAATTGAGTTATATACTTTAGTAACCATTTCGTCGTTCTGCTTGGCGCGACATAATTGTGCTCCTATAGCTTCAAGCAAGTCAAGAAAACCGTATTGGTCTATATAAAGAAACATAATATCGTGATTAATATCATTTACAAGTGACAAAAAATGATCATGTACCCTTGTTAATGCAGACTATTATTTACCGTGGCCGAGATCATTTCTCATTCTTAACTCCTTCCGTTGATTCACTACACGAGGATTAACACGCGCTATGTTTTCCAGTATGTTCAACGCGTAGTTAAGCTTTGAGCCTTCTCGAAATAGGTCATAAAGCATGACAAGAATTCTCGAATTAGATTCGCCCGCCACTTGATCGTTCACAACAATTAAAACCCGAGTTATACGACTGTAATAAAAAACACTCATGTAAGCATTTGTATAAAAGTATAAGTAAAAGTATAAGCCAACTCTAAAATAACTTACCATACAAGGGTAAGCTCCATCTCTCGTTCAGGATTGCAAACTATTTTTGTGCGAGCCCATTCAAAATATTTTATGAACACCCCATCTTTGCCAAATACTGCTACGAGATGAAGAATAAAAGAGGCCATGTTTGCTTCTTTCTCAATCATTTTATATTTTTTCCCGCTCTTTTCAAAATCGATTTCCTGGAAATTGTTGTCTGCAGGATTTATAAAGGAAGGTGTGTTCAATGCACGAAACACGTCCTCGAGGCGTTGATAGAAAAAATCAGGTTTTCGTTTGACGATTTTATGGCATGCCTGTATTGTTTTCAATGCTAATTGCGGATTTTGTAAAACATATTCAATATATTCCACCAACTCTTCGGCTTCGACTTCGTGCTCTGTTAGCCTCTCGACAGAGAACCAATCATTTTTATCATTCTTGTTGAATACTCTTGCCGATACACCAGCGTTCACCTTCTTAATCGTACCCTCAGCTTCCTCGGAAGCTTTTCTCTTCTTCACATTGTTCGAGACTTCACGGCTCTCATTCGTGGGTTTTGATATCGGGGATTGGCGTCTGACTGGCTGTGGTGGATCTACAAACTCGGGAGATGCCTTTATTTTAACCGGATGTTTGGATTCCAATGATTCAGGACAGGCTTTTACTCTATCCGTTTTTTCTATGTTTGATACAGTTGGCGTTTGTGGTTGTGCAGGCTCTTCAGAATGTGGAGGCTTTCGAGGCTTGCCCTTTGGCTTAACTGGAACCGGTGCGGAAGCTGTCTTTTTTGTCGCTCGTTTTGTGACTGCTGGGGGCAGAGACGGTGGCGGATTCATAACGTTCGATGGTTCCGCCACCTCCAATGAGAGTCGCTGTCGTTCTAGTTTTGTAAGCAGCCTCGTCAATTCGTTTTGTAATACTTGTTTTTCAAATTGGAGGTCTCCTATTTGAGCGCGTACGTTCGCCAAGTCTGTCTTCAGGTTCTGATTTTCTACACGGAATTGACTCGGATTCTTTTCATCAGCATGTTGCTTGATAATCATATCTCTCTCCAACTCAACTTCCACCAGTCGGTCCTTGAGATCGTCGTTTTCTTCTACAAGTCTATCAATTTCTTTTACTTTAAGTTCGTCATTTTCTTGGTTGAGCATTGCGGATTCCTCTAGCTGTGTTTTAAGTTCGCCATTTTCTTGGGCAAGTCTCGCGTAGTCTTCCAATTGCGCTTTAAGTTGATCATTTTCTTGGACAAGGCTCGCGTATTCCTCTAGTTGTGTCTTGAGCTGTTCATTCTCTTGGGCAAGCTTTGCAGACTCTTCTAGTTGTACTTTAAGTTGTTCATTTTCTTCGGAAAGCATACTTATCGCCTCTTTTGCAGCACCAAGTTGTTGCTTCAGATCATTAGCATCATTCTTCTGACGGCGAAGACGATCAATTTCCTGACGCGTCTTTTCCATATTGTCGAGCGCCGTTTTGTTCTCTTCAAGCTTTGCATCGAGCTGTTTCTTATGTGACTAGAATATAATGCGATGTTTACGTGAATAAATAAATAAATATAGTCATCTGCAGTATTTGAACGTAATTTATTATGTCTTACTTCAAGTGCTGCGACTTTCGACTCAAGTCGCTCCTTGTCAGCTCGGCATTGATTCAAGTCTTCTTCTTTCTCATCAAGCTGACGTCGTAGATCTTTGTTTTGGGAGTGCAGTAAGCTAGCACCCTCACGTAATAGTGTGCTCTCGCTTAATGCGGCCGTTATCTGAGTCCCTGATAAAGTCAATTCTGTTTTCATTGACGAAAGCTCTATCATAAAATATACAATTAGCATTCTAACAACGAAAGTACTCGATATGTAGATTAATGTAATTGTATATATTCCACAAAAGAGTTGGACTATATCATGTATACCTTTGTCTTTTACCTCGAACAGCTTCATCAGTTTATCAGTTTTTATTATTCGATCCTTCATTGTTTTTATATCTTTCGCAATTTTTGCAGGACTATTTCGAGGTTTGCTACTGGATCCCCCCTCTGTTGTTAGGTCAACAACATCAGCTGTTGTCTCTGTCATATTTTAAATTAAATTATTTTATAGGATATTATATTATAACAAATTCTGTCATCAAAGTGAAGGAATATTTTTGCGCAGCGAGAATTTTAAGAAAACCGATTTGTGTAACAAAAATTTTGACATGATTTTACAGGGGCGCTTTTGAAGTTGAAGTATTCTACCCCCTGTAATAAGCGACGAGGTTTCAATAACGAAACAAGTAAAAGAGATATCCGCTATGCAATCGTTCACTATATTGCTGTCATTAACAAATGATAGGCGATTCTGGCAAAAGTTGAGAAGACAAGAATTTATTCATGAATGATTCTTTATACATATTGAGATAATACATTTACATCATATAGTTAATACTTTATAGATTCCATTGGTCGCAATTTTTAATTTTCGATATGGTGACTCGATAATCACATACTGTAAACACGTGACAACAGATTAAAATTTTGCAAGAAACTTTTCTGTTATAGTATGCATTTTAAGTGGGAATATGGCTTCGAATAAGATAAAAATTGGACAATACAATGTGCTGCAGACACTCGGTGTCGGGTCGTTCGGAAAAGTTAAACGTATTTACTCTTATATAGGACTGCTGGTTTTACTGTAAATTGAGCGCGAAGCAAACGGCTATCTCACATACGAATTTTCTTTCATTACTCCCCTCACAGTGGCCGTACATTCAGTAACGGGCCACAAAGTTGCAATGAAATTTATAAACAGGAAAAAGATCACTAATCTGGATATGGTGGGAAGAGTAAAGAGAGAGATACAATATCTTAAGTTATTAAGACATCCACACATTATTAAATTGTATGCATTATATTGAAGGAATAAATTTGAATATGTAGACATTAATATTTCTAACCATGTTGCCTTTTCTTTTCTTACTCGTAATCTTTCTAAAAATATCTGTTTGGATCGTCTTTTTTTTAAATATGCTTTTATGTAGATATGAAGTAATTACAACACCGACAGATATAATTATGGTTATGGAGTATGCTGGCGGCGAATTGTTTAATTTCATAGTCGAGAGAGGAAAGGTAAATTTTCACTGAGAAAGTATTTGTAGGTATAACCACAAATATAACAAACCTGTTTGTAATTTTACATTGTCTTATATCTTACCAGATGTCTGAAGAAGATGCACGTCGTTTCTTTCAACAAATAATCTGTGCAGCGGAATACTGCCATCGACACAAAATTGCCCATAGAGATTTAAAACCCGAAAAGTACAGTTTTCTCGAAGGTTGAGTGGACATCGAAGATAGCTAGCATTATATGCATTATTCGAATTAACACGATTTCTATATTTTTTGCTTTTATAGTTTACTATTAGATCCCTATCATAACGTCAAAATCGCCGATTTTGGACTGTCCAATATAATGACTGATGGCGATTTTTTGAAGACCAGCTGCGGGAGTCCAAATTACGCTGCGCCAGAGGTTATTTCAGGAAAGCTATATGCTGGGCCAGAGGTTGATGTTTGGAGTTGTGGAGTTATCTTGTACGTAATGTTATGTGGCCGGCTGCCGTTTGATGATGAATACATTCCGACTTTGTTTAAAAAGATCAATGGTAACTAATTTATTAAAACAATTGAGCTTATCAAGTCATCCATGATTGATTTTAACCATTTTAACTCTATTGTAGACGGCATTTATACGCTTCCACCTTTTCTTTCCATCGAGACCAAATACCTTCTGTCGTCAATGCTCATAGTTGATCCTCTTAAACGGATTACCATCGCTCAATTAAGGTAAGCCAGACCTCATGATTCCTGGGAAGTCATTGACGTCAATAATCATTAATATTTCTATCAGAGAGAACCCATGGTTCAATACAGGTTTGCCTGAATACCTTAAACCCCTCCCCGTGAGCGAGGAAGATCCATTTGCAGATATTGACGAGGACATCGTATCAGAGCTACGAAAGGTAAGCAATATTGTATAATATCAATTTAGAATACTTTACAGAAATATTATATGGTTTATTACAATATTGTAGAAAATGGGTTTTAGCCGAACGACAATATACCAGGCACTACAAGAATCTGACAACAATCAAATAAAAGTTGCATACCAGCTTGTTGTCGATCATAAACGGATGATAGATGCAGGTAAATAGTTCTTTATATTACGTGTCAATTGATTTGTGCCGAGTTAATTTGGGTATTGTTTAACCAACACTAGGGAAAATGCGAGAGCTAAAAAATATCCAGAGCTTTCTTGCATCTTCTCCGCCATCATGGAACGTTATGCAGGTAAATTTAATAATAGCCTGAAGCCGAATGCTTTACACGCAACGATGTGTTAGTCTCTTATCACTTACAAATACAATACAATGTTCAGCCATTGAGCGCAACAAGCTTTGCTAATGAAGAGTTGAGTGCCCCATCCAGCATAGAAGTTTTAAGCTCCAGTCTACCCTATCAGGAAGAGTACTCACAAAGTAACATTACTGTTTCTATACATTCTTGTCTTTGTCCATGTCCATGTCCATCCCCGCCCATATCTCATTACGTCCAACATTTATCTATCAGATCGTCGTCATCCCTACCGATCTTTTTCGGAAATGTCTTCTCGAAACTTTTTACCAGACAAACGCACGAGAACTCGATCCAAATGGCATTTTGGAATAAGATCACGGAATCCGCCATTGGAGGTTATGCTCGAGATCTATCGAGCATTAAAGAATTTGGGAATGGTAATTTCGTTGTCGAATTCCTGTTACCTTTTATGTCTTTGAGGGCTTGGATGTGATCATAAGAGGCGTAGAGTTACAAATTAACAGTACTTTGTCATACACAGGATTGGAAGACAATTGATCCGTTTCATGTACGATGCCGCTATTGCTACGAGAATGATCTTCAGGTATTGTAAGACAAGCGTAAAAACTGACGACGGCTGGACGTTTATACTTATTTATCCTTTATTTAAAGGTGAAGGTCGATGTTCAGCTTTACAAGCTAAACATAAATCACTATCTTGTTGATTTCAAGAACGTATCATATGATGGAGTCGACGGAAAAGTGGTATCGGAAGAAGAGAAAACACAGAATCATAATCTCGGCAAAGAGGTCACTTCGCTATTTCCATTCTTCGATGTGTGCACAAAGCTAATTACTGAATTGGCTATTGGTGGATAAACAAAAGGATAGATACAAGGCGATGTGTTAGAGAACTAGAATGTATTTATGTATTCAATATCTTGTGCATTATGCATGTTTTGGGATTTAATCAAGGTAATTCGGAAAGCAATCATTTGTGTTCCACTCGGGCAGTATGGCTTAAAGAGTGGTGACACTGGAAAGCATCACAAGTCGCGGCGAATATGAAAAGTAGATAGCATTAATACATACCCAAACTTGACGGCTCACAGTAGATAGACTATATAAACTAAAGGAACAGGCAAAAGACTACACGATTGAATATTAACATATAAAGCGGTAGAAGGCGATGTGATTGTGTCTAATAAAGATTTATACAATATTCGTTACTAACAATAATACAAATTGTGAGAATTTCTAATTGAATCGTTCTAATACTGTTTCAATAACAAGTTTCCGTTTCTGTCTTCCGGATCATCGGATAAAGTAGAAAGAGAACCAGTTCGTGTAGGCGATAATACACTTACCTGAATTGGTTTCGAGAGATACACTAGATGATATACTAGCATTATCAGAATTTTATATTAATAACTTGGCTCAACATTTTCTTCCAGAGAGAAAGGTTTTTGAATTCACATTATCCATGACATTTAAATTTGTTAGTTTGAAACAACATGTGTGTTATAAGAGAGTATATTTTAAATTTGTGTCTGTTATAATCGTTTAATTTTCTCATATACCATAATAAATGTTGCTGCTTTCTTTTAATGCGAAATAATAGCATACCCTACCATACCTTTTGTCCTGATAGAATAGCTGTTTTATTCCAATATTAATATTCCAACATATAGCCCAATATGACCTTCGACTTTCGATATCATATTGATAGAATAGCATGCTTGTTGAGTTACGACTTTTTACGGTGAATAGCATTCTATGCTTTAAAAGGATCACGTGATTGAATCTCAAGAGTTAGAATATTAATATATTCTCTTTACGGCACCTATCATTTTTCTTCGTGAAAGTTTTTAGCGTAAATACTCCTCCACGCTTAGTTGAAGTCGACATTAATTTTGCCAATACGTCAAACATACAAGCTTCATTTAAATTATACACAGTGAAAGTCGATATAACGGATTCCTCGGGACAGTGCACAAATCCGTTATATCGTGACACTCTGTTATAATTCCGTTATATTGAACAATGTCTCGTTAAGCCTCCGTTTATCGAAAAAAATCCGTACTAAGCGAAATTTGTTATATCAACGAACCCGTTATATCGACTTTCACTGTGTATTTCGAAAAACCCCTTTTGAAGAATAATTCATTTCCTGAAAATATTCAGCCCAAAAGACATGGATCAAATTATTCTGCTGACAAAGCATATACCGCATAAAGAGGAATTAATGCCATGAGTTAAATAAGAAGGTGTTTTTGTTTCTTTTTTCTTTTTTCTTTTTTCTCTTTTCTTTTTTGTCATGATAGTCAAAATTAGGATGGATATGCTTCTGAATGACATAAAAATTCTTACTTATCTATCTCCCTTATGTTATCGCTCTCGTTTGTCTGTTTCGAGACCACTCACCTGGCGCATGTCACAAATTTTCTTTCTTCGATTGACAGATGCACGCTTGCGCGGGTATATTCTAATGTTTGTTGAGCGGTATTCACCAATATTTCTTTACCTAGACGAGGTCTTCCTAACTTCAGCCATAATAACAGGGTATTCGGAAAGAGTTTGTTCGATCCAAAACACTAGGAACGCAAATAGATTCTTGCGTGATTTTTTGTATGCCGCCGAACGATATCAGACTATTCGTATTAGTATTTATTTTCAAAAAAAAAAAAAAATCATCATCTGTAGACGCTAAGCGAAAGAGGGAAAGCAGCACCCAAATCAGTAGAGGTATTCTCGTAGTTATACATACCTGCCAAATCCAATATTACCAAAATATTGAATCGTCGTGTTCTTTATTAGGTTTGATTTTCCCGCATTTTTAATAACAAGCGCCATATTGCGGAATATAATGATTTATACGCTCTGGAATTTGTAATTGCAACTGGAGTAAGCAGACAATTCTTCTGAACCATTGCTGATCACATGCCAGCAATTTCAGATAAGCGATGGCTGAGCGACACTGGTGTTATGTGATAAATGAAACATTTACATGCATGTGTTGTTTATCCTATGTGTTTTTTTTTGCCAGCCAATCAGCATGCAACACAGACATTCGTAGTCGTAGGTAAATATTAATACAAAACCTACAAAATTGTGCTTTTAATAGGGTACCCTCATTTCTATTGTGTTATTTTTGTCATACTTGGTATATAAGTGGTCTATTAATATAAACATGGGTATAATTTCTCTTCGACATAGGCATTGTCCGTGTATAATATGTAAAAACAATAGTATATGTGTTGACCTAAAGCAATTGTTCTAATTTTCGCGCAGGCTTGTAACTTTTAAAGTAGGGTTGATATTATATTAATACTACGACACATATGTACTTCAAGTGACAATGCCAAATTTGTCGGTATTTTTTCCGAACAAATCAGGTATTGTTATTTTACATAGTATATACTAATACAGACAATACGATTGATTTCGACAGAAAGATTCGAAAAAGGGTCACAGGTTTCCGAATCTTATTAAGATACTCCCAACCAATAGTGTTGCGTATATCTTCAAGGTACTAACTAGTACGGCTATATCAGGCCTGAATGAATGATGAACATGCATTCATTCTTTTTAAAAAGAATATTCCATCAAATACTATTGTTGTCAATTCTTTAACATGTTGTGTATATAATTAGTATACATATATTATGTACATTATAATGTTAGAATCACTTGCTGCTCTTCAATGAATCGAATTACGAGGGATTCCAAACACCAAACATTGGGCATCAACAGGCCTGCCTACATGTATTTATCAAACACAAGTCTTTATAGCAAAGGCTGTATTAGTAAAATCGTGGTAAGGATATTGTGTAGATGAATAGAATAAATATTAGTAAGTTGGTCACCTGATTGAAAAGGCTGGTCACCAGGTGCCTTTCGCATTGTCCTACAACAGCAATGAGGTCCAATTTCATATCAAATCCTGGTCACGCTTGCAAACATCATATTCTCGAAGAAGTAAAAATTCCCCATCGCAAATGTGTGTGCGTGCGTGCGTGCGTGTGTGCGTGTGTGTGGTGTGTGTAAAGAACAATATACACTTGATTATGGTTGTAACAATACGAAACCCTTTAATAGTTCCACCTGCATTATAATCACATGAAGATATTACAATATTTAAGCCACAAGAAAATTTTCCAATCGGCTCGAATAATGGGGTTAATGCTAAACCACATTTAAATTTACAGTCCAAATACCCTGGATAAATGATAAGAGCTATTGCAGATAAGTAGCCAAAATTATCCGCACAAAGAAATGGATATGCGGATGAAAAAACGCCCACTCGTCAAGGAACAGATGACCTTGCCTTAGATACACAAAGAATCGGGACATGGCTGTGTTACGATTCATCGGAACCGACAAAATAATATTATAATATAGGCTTTACCTTTGCTTGCTGTACGAAGTAGCATTTCTGTGGAGAAACATTCGTGTATATCGCTCGCTCACTATCTTGAATAATAGTCGGTTAGATCGCATGGGATAATATTTGTAACACAAGCCTATCATTCTAGATGAACTCATAAAAGAAAGGACAATGGCAACCAATCGCATTTCGAGAAAATGAGAACATAGTGGGGAGCGGGGCCAACCTCCCCGAGATTGAACGAGAAAAGGATTACTTCTGACTTGTGTACAGCATTGCGCATTCTCTTGTTGATAATAAGATTTCAGTAGAACCCAATAGTGACCGACCAGATTACAAGGGAAGGAGGGGGAGCTCGAGGTGGGAACGGATGGGATATAAGCCTTCTTAATTGTACGAAAGAGTAATATCTATGCATTAATAACAACCATTCAATATCAACCATCCCATGTACAATACTTTTCCACAAGTCAATTGACGAACAGGGCTTTGAACGAAGCTTTTTCTTTCAGCTGACAGGCAAATGCTGCACTGTTTTCATGTATGTCGTGGTACATGTTGATTCGCCAATCTTTATTTACGAAGTACCTGGTAGCTTTAACCGTTCACATAACTATACAAAGCTGCAATAACTACAATGGTCAGAGTTCAACCAATAACGAGTCAGATTAAACTCCAATAGACATTGATTAGCATACTTGTGAACATCACAGGGATGGGACAGGTGCTGGTACATCCGTCATATATCGCATACTCGATGTAAGTTGTTGAGAAAGTGATAGGAATAAAGTTTTCATAACAAGACAAGTTAAGGAAGAAATCGAACTAATACTAAAGAATCAAACGACGATTATAAGTTTAAAAATATTGGCTATGAGAATACCATCATCAACGCAGTCAGAAATAAATCGTCCCATCGTACCTTATGATGAATAAGGGCCATTATCTTCAAACAGCAACTGTCAGTCCATTGTGTCGAACAGCAACTGTCAGTCTATTGTGTCGAACAGCAACTGTCAGTCTATTGTGTAAAGCTACCATCTTTACGCAGGGTTCGCCGGTGTGGTACTTTGAATATTTTGGTCGTTGTTTACAATTTGTACTCATTTGCTTAGGTATCCAATGTACGCTGGTCATATACGAAACGTACCGCACGAGTTAAATTCTTGCAAGGAGGAATGTTTTGAATACGACTGACTAACACTACCAGGCGTACAATATGAAGACTTGTATCGGCGTCAAGCCTTTATTAAAGGCTCTAAATACTAGCAAGCTTTTCTAGTTTGTCAAGCTTGAATTAAATACCAATAGGCGAATTGCGTAACCAGGTTTGAACGTCGGACGCTTTGCATTGCGAGTACAGGCGTAAGAACGAGAATTAAACGATACCATGAAAGAAAGGAAGCAGACAAATAAGTACGTATACAGCGTTGTTATTATCTTTGCTTATTAGTTAGGGGTTATAATGTAACTGAGAGTAGTTGGTTTCTTCGTCTAAGACTGTAAAATAGCTAGCGTTGTATAACTCACTCTGCGAACGCATATATTGCAGGGAGCACCGGAGAATTAAATATTTGTCATATCGAACAATTTCATGGTCAGCCTCGACGAATGCCACACATCACAACCTTATTGCTATCGCGGAGAGTAAAAACGACATTATAATGTCGAATATCGAGAATATACGCATATAATGACGCTTTGTAACATTTCTTTTCTTGTCTTTGAATAATTACGTATAAAAAACAACATATTATAATAGAACAGCGTTTTTCATGCAAATTATATGTAAAGAGATTATGCAATGTGTTCACGGGAACGACTGACAATAGCCCTTATTGTAATGAGTTTCTTTATTCAGGAACGCGTACAGCCACACGTGTCTGCAAATAATTTGTCTAAAAGTTTAAGGATAATGCGGTGTTCGCTTTTTATCGCAATTGTTTTCGTTGTCATTTTGTTGTTGTTGTTGTTGTTGTTGTTGTTGTTGTTGTTGTTGTTTGTTGTTGTTGTCATTGTCATTGTTGTTGCTGCTGTTGCTGCTCTGCTGTTCTGTTGTTCTGAAAGTAGTGTAGTATTAATGGTAATAATGGTGTTGTAAGTTGGTAGATAATAATAATAGGTAGTGTTAGTGCTAAAGCAATTGTCGCCGTCGGGTCGTCTTGTATGCTGCTAATTTTCAACACTACCTTTTCTTCCTCATCCGCTATTGTACAAATATGAGTGCGGTTCAATATTTATTCGTAAACAGCCTATCATAATATTCCACAATTATTTTACTTATCATCCATTTTCTCTATGGTTGACTTTAGTTATCACTCCCCCCTTGTCATAAATGCCTTATTTAACTAGCTCCCATCTAATTCTTGTATTGCAAATGAGTTTAATTCCGTATGTTGTTTCTCTCAATATCAAAATTGTCGTCTGCCAAGAGCCCGTATCCAATAAATAATCGACAATGCAACTTTATGCATATGCATCGATGATGGGAAAGTTTTGCGGTCGATAAAAATTTTTTTGTGTGAGAATATACAGATCACACTCGTCAAAGTTTGCATGAACGTGACCAACGTCTGACCTTCTTTATCTCCATCTTTGTACTAATCAGAGATCGATCTAACAAGATCTAGTCATTTACATACTCGTTACTTAAAAATGTGACTTGTGTGTCACACGCAATTGGGATTCCGGAGTTGAAGCCCGGTGGTTGCACCAATCCTGTTCCGATTGTTGATGAGCGGAAATTATCAGGGATAATACTAGTCCCTGTGTTTGTAATATTTATACAATAGCATTTTATAATAAGCGTATATTTTACAATTGAATTATAGCCCAGAATACCATAAATTATTTGGGGTTAGAGTTAGGTTAGGTTAGGTTAGGGTGTAACGTTGTTTTTTATAAAAGCTGCACGTTTTCCTTGTTCGTTCAGCTTTCTTGACTTGTCTTAGTTCTCTTTCGCAACATCATCCAACAACATGAAATTTGAACGCAACAACAACACTAGTGATTTTTCATATTTGATAGAACTCGAACCAAAAAAAGAATACGAACTTAAACCTACCACGTTACAAGAGGTTAGTTTTAGAATTTTTTTATTTCTTGTTGCCCAACATCAATTGTTTCTACAAGCTACTTCATACAGTCTCGCAGTGAATAATTCATCTAGTCCATTATCAAGATGAACGATATTATGATCATGATGCCCTTTTTGATTCTTTTTTTGACATACAATGACAAATTATTGACACTCAACGCTTAAAATCGCGTGTAATGCTTTAATTAGTCCTAATTACACTATGTATTTTGACGCTAAAAGAGATTTTATAAACAATTCCTCGTATAATTACACGCTAACATTACTTACCTGCTTACTCAACTGTCGTAATTATAGTTGCGTACTCGTACTAGCTACAAGAGAGCTCCAAATGCCTTTGTCCTATTCAGAAGTGATTTTCAACGTTTACTCAAATGTTCTGTTGGAAAAGCTTCATCTCTGGCTTGCATATTTTGGGAAATGGCCGATGCGGTTCTTAGAGAGCACTACACGGATATATATAAGAAGCTTTCAGACGAAACGCCTCCTAAATGGGAATTCAAACTGTTTATTCCGCCGCGAGAGCGTCGAAAAAAATTGAAGGGCTCTTCTTCTCCTGCAAGCGCCAAAATACTTCCTTCGGTACAACATTTAAGCAAGAAAGATACCACCGACCCTTGTCCTTCCACTCCATCAGTTGCGTTACCCGATAACCAACTTGAATTGGATTTAAATTCAAACAGCGAGGGTCCTAGTAACTTTCACACCGAAATACTTCCTTCGGCACAACATTTAAATAATGAATATACCATCGACCCTTGTCCTTCCACTCCATCAGTTGCGTTACCCGATAAACAATTTGAATTGGATTTAAATTCAAACAATATTTATTGCAACATTCACACCGAAATACATCCTTCAGCACCGAAATATACCATCGACCTTTGTCCTTCCACTCCACCAGATGCTGATAGAAGGTTACCCGGTCACCAAACTCAACAGTGGCACAATTGTTTCGAATTTTACGAAGGTCCAATATTGTTTCCCTGTAACCAAGAATGGCTTTGGAACTCACCCCCAGTGACTGTACCGATACCGTTAACACATAACAATTGTAGCAATTACGAAGTTACTAGTTCACATCCAACGGTTGAGCTTGGTTATCCATCTGAATATTATATGGCAAATTGTCTTGATGAAAATGCTCTTTATACTAACTTTTGACGGATATTCCACATACACATATATCAGTATACCATAATATACTAATACAATACAACATTTACAATCAATGTACACATAACATTTACCCTTGTAATTTTTGTATTAAATTATAAATAAACATTAGATAAATAATACTTTCAGTCGAACATTTCTATCTTTCTCCCATTTCGCTGCAGTACAACGAAAGCTAAACGACCCATGATTAGCTAAACTGGCAAGTTTTAAACAACGGGTAAATCACATGGGACATTGTACATTGTTATACAGCCAATTACTGTGCAGTAAAGCAGTCTTGTGATTTCCTATCTCGTTGTGTTGTGTTCTGGCTCATTCGTCTAAACGGTGTGTTCGTTATATTGCAAGTCTGTAATGCCAGGATAACGATTGCCTGATAGACAGTGGTTGCCATATAATTTGAGGTTGCATATAGCCTACATTCCAAATATCCTTTTCCATCACAAACAATCGATTGAAGAAAATATATATACTCTGAAACTATAACAAATAAGGTTAAGAGAACATATTGTTCTTTGCCTATTAAGTGCAAGGCGTGGTCCACAACGGTTTTTAGTCGATCAACATTGTGATATTCCCTATCGTTGCTAAAAATCGATATATTCGATTGTAGTCGGGTTTGCTCGGTCAACTCCGTCGTAGAGTACATTTGTATTTACTAAAATTGTTCTCATTCAATCCGAGATTCAAGGAAATGCATAAGCTACCCTCTTTCATATGCAGTTGCAGACTTGATTGTCATTACAAATCGTCTTGTGGCGTTTGTTAATCTGTGGTTAACATCGGAGTAGACATTGCGATAAGCATGCACTTTTTCAAAGCAGCGTTGGCCCTTGTCATAGGATTATAAGCAATTCTATTTGATAACCATTTCATTTATTGAAATAAACCGATTAAGACTATGCTTCATTGACTGAACAGACTGCATGTTTCGTAGGGCATTATTACATTCACTCTTTCAAACACAGCACAATTTTGGATAAAAAAGGGTTTTTTTTTACCACATGCAAAACCGAATTTATTAGCACTTTCATGTTCAAACTATTGCATTTGTTCTGTACATTAAAATGTCGGAGTACGGCAATGCTAACAGAGAATATAAACGCAGTAAAACGACAAGATGGAATTATAACTGAAGATCGTATGTAGTATGTGGCAAAAGGTTAAGGTTACTCAAGTAACACATAACCATTGATTGTACTTATGTAAATAGCTAGACAATAAAAATTCCTCCCATCAGTATTGTACTACCGCTTAAAACGTATTTCGTTTCCTATATACAAAACAATATTAAGCGCTTGCAAACCTTTTCGTTATTGTACTAGCAAGCACAATGACTAGCGAGGCAGAGCTAATTCTTTTTTTAAAATTTAACTTTGACGCTGTGAGAATGCACATTGTGCAAATTACCAATATTGATCGGAATGGATGAAACGTAACATTTTACCCTTGCCATTTTCCTTTGTAAACATTGACGACATTTATAATCATAATAAACCAAGAAGAAAAAAGCTATCAAAGACCCCCTGTTACACATACGAACCTAGACTATGGTTATTAACCTCGCCACTCATCAATAATATACGAAGAAGATAATCATACACATTTGAGATTGTGTGCAAGTTTCACAATCGATAAAATTTTTTTTACGTTTACCGTCTTACTGTAGTGTTACTAACATTGTAAACATAACCAGTAATATAATTTTATATCACCAATTCAATACCGACAAATGTTCGAACACTTTTCGTAATCGAGTACATTTAAACATCTAATCGTCAGCTACAAGACTGTCGGCTTTAATAGTTTGCGCTATTCCTGTCGAATGTGGCCACTCGTTTATGAAGAATATACCTAATGAAGGCATTATTATGTTGTGTCACTAAATACTAATACGTGACAATTGGTTTGAAATGTTTGAGAACAAACCTTACCTTACTATAACAAGAAGGTAGAATGTAATCATTACAACATGGAATTGTTATTATTAGATTTGCAGAGTTGTATTGGTCAAGATACTGACCTATTGCCACCATTTTCCATAAATTTGTCATGGTATACGCCTAATACCAAACCAGTTTTTCTTTTGTTAACCCGAACTTTCCGCAAAAGTGATAAGAAAACACAATACAAAGGACGTTTTTTGATCTTTTCTGTAATAGATACCCATTATTATTACGCAACAGAAAGGATAATATAAACTAATTTGTATTGATTACGGAATAGAGTTTGTTTAAGTAATCAGGTCAACGTTACAAAGTATCGCATTTTTGTAAAAATATCCAAGCCGTGTCAATTCTGGACTAGCCTGCACTTGTTCAGATATAAACATTTCCTTATCTACTGTTAACACAAAGTGAACTTTAAATATTATATTTGTTACATAATTAGCCCATTTGTACATAATCACTTTTTCGTGTTATTGAAAATAATCTACTTGTTCTGTTGACCCAAGTTTGCTATTTATGTAACTGCTGCCAAGAGATTTTATATGCAATATGACTCTAGTTCTTCATAGAATAAATATTTGGAAGCGACCAGTAATCTTCTAGTACTAACAGGCATTTATGAAAAGTTTTTAGTATATGTGCAACTTGTTATTTACTTGGTTAAAGAAGGCAAAGACAATTGTTTAAGTACATGTGGCGTTGAGTGTAATTAAATCGACCACAACGAAACAGTTCACCTATTAATAGAACAAATTTTTTGTATCTGGATAAATTGCATATAATTTTGTAATAAACATTGACTTATAGGATAATAACAACTATATCGTCAAGTTTGTATACCATACAATTAAATAATATAAAAAAAAAAGGGCTAAAAATATTTTATTACTTTCAATTAATTATTACTATAGCTTTTGCAACGAATTCAAAAAGGAAAAACGCGTAATTTGCTTAATTGTATACTGAGTGTATATTAATATTATTGGGGATACTTACATTACAGAATGTTGAATATTAAAAGGAATATCAAGTAAGACTAGTTGCATAAATGTAAACGCTTTCTCTTACATTGCCAATAATATACAGAAGAAGAAATAGAAAAGTATTACTACAAAATAAGGTTACCATGCAGTATCAATATATTTTGGTACAGCAATAGTAATTTACGAAGGCATACATGGACAAAAAACCCTGGAAAAATAGCTAAAATTTCTTATCTACTTGACTGTTAATGTTAGTACTACCCTAAAAAAAAGAGAGGATAACTGGTCAAAATTGATGCTACAGCAATGTTTGCTTCCAAAAAAGTGTTGGTAATGCAGACGTTGATGTATAACTGCCCCTAGTAAAATCTTTTCTTTCGGAATCTCTCTTATACGTATTTACTATAACTTTTGTGTCATTGTAAAAATAATCGATTGTACTTTTCAAATATATATAATAGTGATATATTCAGTCTCGTTATATCGCTCCGAAGTCACAGTTCGATGAAGCGGTACTATCAATGTTACACCTATGATTTTCGCATGTGTAACATCGATATATCGCCACTTCATTGAAGGTTGCAATAACTAATCGAAAAAAAAAACAGGTACAAAGATTATTACAATTTATATAGTAAATACGTACAATAAAGAAGAAAAGAGATTTTTCATATGTTTTACTAGTAAATTTTGTACATTTTTGGTAGGGCAGTGTATGCATGGGTAGTGCAGTTTTTGTGAGCTTCCTTCAAGCATTTTCACTGTTACTATTGTTCATATTCATATGGATTTTGTTTGTAACACTACCAATATCTAACCCCAAAGATAAAAGCGTGAGTCCAAAAAGCAAAATAAAAACGGTTGTTAACGCCGCAGCTCTCACTATTACTCTCGCAACATGAAGTTTGAGCGCAAC